CCATGTGGATCAAGCTAACGAGCCGTCTAGACACAGCTATCAAGCAGCTCTCCTTCCAGGGCACGATCCAGATCTGAATCCAAATCACCATCCGGCCCTTCTCCTGGGCCAGTTTTTAAACAGGATGGCTTTGACCCTCTGGATCCCTATTTGCAATCTCTTGACTTATTGTGCAAAATCCTGTTTGCACACCTACGAGTGCTCAAGTTCGTTAGCACCCTGTGGCACACTTGAAAGGATCTGCAGGGGCTATGGCACCATGGGAAGCAACCCCAGCGCTGTCAAGGGCTTGGCTTGGGGTTTTGCTCCTGATCAGAATCTCTCTCGGGGTCTATTCCTGGGGTTTGTTCCAGGCAGTGCCCTCCTAAATCATTTCTCATTGACTCAGTTGACCGTCAGTCTCGCTGGCTTCTCAGGGCTCTCCCAGCTCCACGCGTTCGAAAGCAGCGTGTCGGGCTGGCGGCAGGGCTCGGCGGGTTATCCGTGGTGGAGTCAGCCCACCCGAGAGGCTGCATTAAGTTTCTCTGTGAAATCCTCCCCTCTGAAATGTATCCTGGTCAGATTCCAGCCTGGCCGGGCCTGCTTTAAATTCCCTCCGGCACGGCAAACTGGACGGTGCGGAAACGAGAGCTCGGCAAGACCGCGCTCCCTCTGGGTTGAAGAGAGGGAGATGCTCAAGAAAACCACTTGGATGCCAGCGCTTCTCTAAGCTGCTTTTAAGCCACTTGAGCAATGGGGCTATTCCCCGACCAAGCAGATGTCCCGGTTGGGAGTTTCTCGCCCCACATCCCTTCCCACCCAGGGCCCCGTTTTGTGGCGTTGCTGTGCCCCGTGAAACAGGGGCAGCCGTCCTCACCAGAAGTGGCCGCATTCGTACAGGCATTAATCCATTCTCCCTCTCATCAGCACCCCAGGCGCTTTGAAATCACCTGGAGAGGCAGTGCTGTGTGAGTGCCAGTCTTTTATTACTGCTCCAATAAAATGAATGGGGCAGCTTTTGCTAGGAAAGCAGCTTGGCCTTGGCAGGGGCTGCAGCCTGTGCCTTCCCGTTACTTAAAGACAATTCTTTTTTTTTTCCTCCTTAGAGATCACAGATCAAGCCTATCATGGAGGGGACATGCCAATGGTCCAAGGAGGTTAGTGAGGGGTGCCCACGAGGGAGCTGGTGAAGGGGATGGCACCCTGAAGCGAGCTGGATGGCTGTTGCTTGTTGGGATGCAGAGAGGGGCTTGGGATCTGCGGGAGCTTTGCTTCTCGGGTGGCTTTTGCATGACCGGATGCAACATCCCTACGTGGTGGAGATGTCCAGGGCTGGGGCACGGGGGAGCTGCTGGGTCTCGAGATTTCCTGGTCCCCAGGGGAGGAGAAAACATTATTTCTGAGCATGAAAAGCAGGTTCAAGACATCCGCTTTCAGGCTGGCCTCCATAACCTGCTCCCATGGGGCATCAACATGAAAGGACCCCTGTCCTCGATCCCTAGGGCTTTGTGCCTAGTCAGAAGTCACTGCTCTACCTGTGTTTGCTTGCGAGATGGCTTGTGGGACCTTAGCGAGACGGGAAGGCAGGGGCAGGGGGTGGCGGTGTTGTCACAGCGATGACTGAAAGCAAGGAGAGGGCCAGGAGAGCCTGGACCCGGTCCCAGCGCTGCCTTGGAGGGGAAGGAGGGCGGAGGCGGCTCGACTGGGACCTCGCTTTCACTTCCTGCCACATGTGGGGAGAGATCATTATAAATATCTGACTAAAGCAGACTTCTTTTTTCTTGGTATTAGTACAACTCCCCCCCTGCAACAACAGAGCGGTGGCCAGACCTATTTCACTTTCCCCGGGTTCGCAGGGTGTCAGAGCTGAGCTGGCCAGGTGTATGGGTGCACCGAGCCATGCCGGCTTTGGCTTCCTGCCTTGCAATCCGAGGGCCCAATTCATCCACCCGTATCCATAGCAAGCAGGCATCTCATGCCCCAGCCGGCTCCTTCGATATCAGTTCTTCGATATGTGTCCATAGCTCATCAGTGCGTCTGTGTATCCGCCGAAGAGCCGATGCTCAGTGTGAGTGCGGGGGACTCAGGCCCCAGGACTCACTTGTGCATTATTCACCTATGGATTGCTGGATCCCTCTGGGATCAAAATAGTTGCTGCAGGAGACAAGATCGTTTCATGGCAGGGTGGCAGGGTGCTTGGTGCTGGACAAAGCACTGGGCCATGCCTCCTGCCTGGAGGAGCTTGCAGTCTGTGTCCAACCCAGCCAGACATGCACCCAGAGGAACCAGGTTTATTTAGACTGCAGAACTGAAGACCGAGGGGGATTTGATAGCAGCCTTCACCTCCCTGCAGGGGGGTTGCAAGGATGGAGCTGGACTGGTCTCAGTGGGGGGCAGATGACAGAAGGAGCAATGGGCTCAAGCTGCAACAAGGGAAGTTGAGGTTGGATATTAGGAGAAACTTCCTCACTAGGAGGGTGGTGAAGCACTGGAACAGGTTGCCCAGAGAGGTTGGGTGGATCCCCATCCTTGGAGGAGACCTGGCTAGACAAAGCTTTGTCTGGGATGATGCAGTTGGGGCTGGTCCTGCTTGGAGCGGGGGGTTGCACTAGATGTGACCTCCTGAGCTCCCTTCCCACCCTCATTGTCTATGATGCTGTGACCCTGTTATCTAAAGGACCCCGTTCAGAGGCACCCGGCCCTGTGCTGCAATTAGAGGTTCTCTGGGAATTTGTGCTTCTCAGCAGTCTGGATGCACGGTCAGGGCAGGGGGCAAAAAGGGAACCGAGGGCAAGTACTGCTGCATTGCATGCCTGTCCCGCTGTGATGGGCCGCTCATGCTCTGAACCAGCAGCAAGCTGGGGAATATCCCGGCAGGCCGACTGAAAAAACCATTCTGTTCATGCTTGCCTTACTAAACCTTTACTGATTTCCCTA